AAACCCTAAACCCCTAGACCCCTATAGGATTTAGGGTTTAGGGTTTAGGGTTTAGGGTTTAGGGTTTAGGGTTTAGGCCTCGGTCCTTATTCTAAAATTCAGGCCCACAGAAACATTCTAACCCTCCAAGCCGAAAGCCATACTTGGAGGTTCATGGAGTTATGAGTCCCCCAATACAGGTTACAACTGCAGTTGCCCTACTTATAACCCCACTTACAACTACCCATGAACCTCCAAGTAAGCCAAGTTCTCTTCACCAGCGAGGCTCATTCTTTCCATTTCTGGAACCCTAAACCCTAAACCCTAAACCCTAAACCCTAAACCCTATCCATTTCTGGAACAATGAAGAACCTCAAACACCTGGGCTCTCTTGGGAGGCCGCCAACGAGACCGAGATGGCAGAGCTGGCGATCTTCTCCCTGGGCTTCGAGGCGGAGGTCCCCCAAACACAAGGGGGGCCGTAGGGGTTGGGGTGGTTTGGGCACAGGGGCGCCGTAGGGTTTAGGGTTTAGGGCCCCAGGAGGCCGTAGGGGTTTAGGGTTTAGGGTTGGTTTTGGGTTTGGGGTTCGGGGTTTAGGGTTTAGGGTTTAGGGTTGGTTTTGGGTTTGGGGTTCGGGGTTTAGGTTTGAGGGTTTGGGGTTTAAGGGCCAGGGTTTAGGGTTGAGGAGTTCCTTCAAGGGGTTCCTCTGACATCGGAGCCCAAACCAAGAGGTCTGTGGGGCTTTGTGATTCGAAGAGGGCTCTCACAGAGTTTTTGGGGGTTGTGGGTTCCTTCAGCGGGTTTGTTTGAAAGGGTTCCTATGGTACGCTCGTCAGATTTTGCAGGTTTCTGTAGGGTTTCATAAGAGCAAAGGGTGCTAGATACCAGCGAGGTTCTATGATCTAGCAGGGATTTATGAGTTTTGTTAGGTCTTAGGGCTAATAAATAGGGTTCCTATAGCATCTTGTAAGGTTTAATAGAGGGACTATCAGGGACTGGTGCTCTGTGCCTTCGGGTTTAGGGTTCTTGTAAAGCTCCTTGAGAGGGTTTAGGGTTTGGGGTGTAGGGTTTAGGGTTTAGGATTTAAAGTTTAGGGTTTAGGGTTTAGGTTCTACGTAGAGGTTCTATAAGGAATCCAAAACCCAGACAGGGGCGGGGCCAGCCCATGCCGAAACGTCCATCCCTGAGCCCGAAACCCACAAACTTGATCCCTAGCGCTAGGCTCCAATGAAAAGGGGCCTTAGTAGCCTTAAGAATAGGGCTTTGCGGTATATTCATAAGGAGCCCTCAAAATAGTATTGGTAATTATTTAATCCACTTTCTTAACCCCTGCCCACCCCCTCACCCCCTCAAAGCAAAAGACAACTCCCTATATGGATCAGTCTACAACCGTCCGAAGTTTTCTTGCGCTTCTAGCGACGCCCCATAAAACCTTGATCCCCAATCCGTACATCCGCAACCGCTGGTCCCACACCCCAGTCCCTAAAACCGCACACCCTCTATCTCTAAGCCTGAAGCCGCAAGGCTTGCTTCAACCACCGCAATCCTTCCCCGGACCCCCAAGCAAGCTCGAAAAGACTCCCCCACCAAACCTGCGAGTTTTGGGTTTAGGGTTTAGGAAATTCTGGTGATGAGCATGCGATGCGTTCATGACAATGATGATGGCCAAGATGATCATCCGTGGTGATGATGACGAAGGTGATACATCCTTCCACACCCTGGTCCCTGCCCTAAACCCTAAACCCTAAACCCTAAACCCGTAAGCCCTGTTTTGCCTGGTGGCTTTCGGCTTCTGTGGAACGGCGAGGCATCTGAGAAGGCTGAAGAGTTGAAGAAGGCGCAAGGGGTTTAGGGTTTAGGGTTTAGGGTTTAGGGGGGGTTTGAGCAAGTTTGCAAGGGTGTTGTAGGGCTTTTACGGGGTGTTAGACGGTTTTAGTAGGGTTTCAAGGTTGTACTTGGAGGTTCGCGGGTAGTTATAAGTATGGTTATAAGTCCCCTAGTATGGGTTATAACTATAGTGACCCGACGTATAACCCCATGTATAACTACCCATGAACCTCCAAGTAGGGTTTCAAGAATTGTGGGTTTGGTGGGGTTTCTCAAAACTTACAGTAGAAGCCAGAAAGTTGGAACATCAATATCCTCATGCCCTTAAGGCAAAGTATAGGGGATCCTAGCCCTCCGAAACCCATGTTCCAACTTTCTGGGGTTCGCTGTAGGGGTGGCTCAAGGCAGGGGTCGTCTTCGGGTTTAGGATCCATGTAGTGTAAACCCTAAACCCTAAACCCTAAAGGCTCTGGGGCTTGCTCAGAACTAAGGTTATAACATCCCAGACCTCAGCCTGTTCCGTTCTTCTTCATCAGCCTTAGTGTGTAAGCAGGACCCCCCCCACCCAAACCCGAAACCCTAAACCCTAAACCCTAAACCCCTCAACCCCTAAACCCCTAAACCCCTAAACCCTTAAACCCTAAACCCTAAAAGCCCCAAACCCCAAACCCTAAACCCTAAACCCTAAACCCCGTAAGCGGGATCCTTTTGTCTTCTCTCCTCCCTTACTTGGAGGTTCATGGGTAGCTCTAAATGGGGTTATAAGCAGGGTAACTATATTCAAAGCTTATACCAGGGGACTTATAACTATACTTGTGACTACCCATGAACCTCCAGTAGCACCCTAAACACTCATAGCCATAAGCCTCTGAAAGGGATCCTGTGTTCTTCCTTCCCAGCAGGGGCCTTGCTTTCTTTTTTTTTTTGGGGGGGGATTCCGAAAAAGCAGGGCTCACAAACGTGCCCTAGGGCTAAGGCTTAAGGAATTAGGGTTTGGGGTTGAGGGTTAGGGTTTACAATGTAGGGTTTGGGGTTTTGGGGCTAAGGATGTAGGGTTTCTTGCTGTGGAACTTGAAATTTGATGTTCATGGTCTTGGGCTTCAGGGTTTCGGAATTTGGATTCCAGAATTGGGATTGAGGGTTCATTTTCAGGTTCGGGACATTGCACGTGGGGTTAGGGTTAAGTGTGTAGGGTATAGAGTGTTATCAATGTTTTCGATTAGGGTTTAGGGTTTAGGATCCTTCTTATAAACATAGTATAATGGGCCCCAAAACCCTATTCTCCCTACATTAGGACCTAAACCCTAAACCCTAAACCCTAAACCCTAAACCCTAAACCCTAAACCCTAAACTAGAAATTGCGGGTTTCGGGTTTAGGGCTCAGCGAGTGCAGCGCCCCTGGCAGCTGAATTTGCAGCCCGGGACTCCCACAATCGAGCCACGGTTTAAGGGTTTAGGGTTTAGGGTTTAGGGTTTAGGGTTTAGGGTTTAGGGTTTAGGGTTTAGGGTTTAGGGACTTAAAACCACAGCCGAAACCCCAAGTAGTGCACAGGTTGTTCTAAAAGAAAGCTAAGCCCAAAACCCTAAACCCCTAGAGTATTGTGGGCCTAAGTTACAGGAGGCGTTGATGAGTTTTGGAGTCTGATACTCCACCCCTAAACCCTAAACTCCCAGAGAACCCCATAGAACCCTCTTTGAAGGACCCCTACCCTAAACCCTAAACCCTAAACCCTAAACCCTAAACCCTAAACCCTAAACTCAAGGCATAGGCCGCCCACCTACGTGGGTGGGCGGCGCTTAAGCCGGCGAGCCAAGACGCCTGCCCGCCTCC